GGCTACCAAACTATTGCCAAGCAGCTTGGTGAGAAGGTGACAACAGTTGGTGCAATCATTCACAAATGGAAGAAACACAAAACAAGTGTCAGTCTCCCTAGGTCTGGTGCACCGTGCAAGATCTCACCTCGTGGAGTGTCAATGATCATGAGAACAGTGAGGAATCATCCCAGAACTACACGTGAGGATCTTGTCAATGATCTCCAGGCAGCTGGGACCACAGTCACCAAGAAAACAATTGGTAACACACTACGCCAACAAGGACTGAAATCCTGCAGTGCCCGCAAGGTCCCTCTGCTCAAGAAAGCCCATGTCTAGGCCGTCTGAAGTCTGCCACTGAACATCTGAATGATGCAGAGGAGGACTGGTGGGAACTGTTGTGGTCAGATGAGACCAAAATCGAGCTCTTTGGCATCAACTTAACTTGCCATGTTTGGAGGAGGAGGAATGCTGCCTATGACCCCAAGAACACCATCCCAACTGTGAAACATGGTGGTGGAAACATTCTGCTTTTCTGCTAAGGGGACAGGACAACTGCATCGCATCAAAGGGATGATGAACGGGGCAATGTACCATCAAATCTTGGGTGAGAACCTTCTTCCCTCAGCCAGGGCATTGAAGATGGGTCGTATGGGTCGTAGATGGGTGTTCCAGCATGACAATCACCCAAAACACACGGCCAAGGCAACAAAGGAGCAGCTCAAGAAGAAGCACATTAAAGTCCTGGAGTGGCCTAGCCAGTCTCCAGACCTTAATCCGATTGAAAATCTGTGGAGGGAGCTGAAAGTTCGATTTGCCAAACGTCAGCCACCAAACCTTAATGACTTGGAGAGGATCTGCCAAGAGGAGTGGGCCAAAATCCCTCCTGAGATGTGTGCAAACCTGGGGGCCAACTCCAGGAAACGTCTGACCTCTGTGATTGCCAACAAGGGATTTGCCACCAAGTACTAAGTCATGTTTTGTGAAGGGGATCAAATCCTTCTTTCCCTCATGAACATGCAGATCAGTCATCATTTGTTAGACGCATTTCTGCTGAATTTGTTGTTGCTATTCTGTCTCTGTGTTACAATACACCAAACATTCGATTGTTAGACCAATCATTTCTTTGTGAGGGGCGAACATTCAACATCAGCAGGGGAGCAAATATGCATTTCCTTCACTGTATCTGCAGATCAAAACAGCATCATTTATCTACACATGCCCCGTACACATGATAAGAAAATTGTACAAAACATTTTGCGGAACCATTGATCGAACGATTTTCTCTTCGTTGATGAGCAGGATGTTTTAACCGATAACGATATTGTGAACGAAAAAATCCGGTTGAACAACAGTGAAAAATTTTGCCGTTTCACATACGAACGACCGATTTTCTATGCGGCAGTATGATGACCGTACGAAAAAAAATCTATCAAGCGCTATCACGCATGAGCGGAAACAGAGGATGACCCGGATGTTCATGTCCGAGGAATCTTCGTAAACAAGAACGAAAAATCCAAATGTTAAAAGTAGATCGGCCGAATGAGATGATGAAAGCAGAATTCTGCGTATTATATTTTATGTATCACTATTTATGTATATAGATCATGGAATAAACTATATTCTAATTGTGTAGATCGCTCATTCTGGCTGGAAGGGCGTGGCGACAAGGTCACACGCACACCGCATCACTTCCACTTGGAAGACGTCAACACTATGTATTGCCCGACGAATGATTTTTTTTTTTAGACTGGTCAATGTGGGCCACGATTTTGACCAACGAACGAACACCTCTCGGTCGTCAGATGACCGATCGGTCGATTTTCTAATCGTGTATTCCCACCTTAAGTTTCAGCAGTCTTGAAAGCAGAAAAAAAGTTTTTATGTAATAAAGATGAATCCTTTGTAATCTCTACCTAATCCTAATTATTGCTAGTTTCCCCTAATTTACTCCCTTTTAATCTTACTTCATGTAAAATGTGTTTTAATTATGTTCACTTGTATTTTTTTTAATGGGATAGTATAAAATAAAACTTTGTATGCTTCATCGAAAGAGGAAATGTGCTGCCCCAATAAACGTGTCTGTTTCCCTATTTACCCCTCTTGTTTGTAATTCGCTATCACAGCCTCTAGATACCACTGTCAGTCTCGCACAGGGGCGGACTGACAACTCATGGGGCCCCCGGGCAATAGGGGATCATGGGGCCCCTGTGTCCTTGCCCAAACTCAAAAAAGCCTATGAAAAAGGTACCAGGGGCATTTCATGGGGCCCCCTACTGACCCCGGGCAGTGCCCGAGCTTCCAAATGGTCAGTCCGCCCCTGGTCTCGCCCTCACCTGACCCAGTGTTCCTGTCCATATAGAGTAAGACTGGCCATACATTATACAATTTTCTTGAGAATTTTGGTTTAGATTTACCAAAAACCATATAATAGGAGGTCCATGCACTACATAGTTGAAGGTAAATCTAAAGGAATTTGGGCAGAAATCGGACAGACAATTGTGAGAAAATTGTATAATGTATGGCCAGCCTAAGAGGGTTTTTTTTAGAGAAATATCTTTTCACCCGCAAGAAACAAAAAAAAAAAAAATCACCCCCAGACACAGTGGAACACTGATCATTGTACGGGACCTCTGTGCGAAGTCCCGATCATGTGATCGCTGATTGGCTAATCAGCGATCACATGAATAGTAGTAAGCAAGATGTCACTTCTGACATCATTGCTTACTACATGTGAAATCTGTGAATGATCACAGAGATCACATGGTACAGGGCTATTCACAACAGCTTTGTACCATGTGACAAGCTGTGACCAATCACAGCTCACACAGTATTTCTCAATGGCTTCAAGAATCACATCCTATCAATCCTATCACATCTGAGCAGCCCATGTGCCTATAGAGTCACATGTGTGGGTATATTTACAGTGGTAAAAGACAGCCCGCTCCCTCTCTCTTGTTCCATGCCCACTAACCAGCTAAACACAATGGGGTCGGGATATTACATCTTGATTGACGGAGGATTCACCTCCCTCTTATCCAAAGACACAGGCTGAAGGGCTGTGACACAGCCTGCGACTGACAGAAATTCATCCATACCATGTTATTGCCAAAAAAATAATAAAGATTTGATTCCAAATATATATATATATATATATATATATATATATATATATATATTGTATGAAGGTTTAAAACCATTTATTGATCTGAATTATTTATATTTAATCTGCCCCAAAGGCTTTTATTTTACTTTGAACATGTGACCAGTAGCAGAGGGACTAGAAGCTTCTCCTGCCACTGTTTCCCTGTAGACAGGCTTGGAAAGAGCTGGGTCATGTGACAGCTATATATCGACTAGGATAAAAGGTACTTAGATTTTTTTTTTAATTAAAATAATTTCGGAGCCATCACCCACATACAGAATGTAATGTATGTTTAGTATCACTTTAAGTGCAATGTTTCAGGGCTGCACAGTACCCCTTGGTCGGGCATGTCTGATCACTGCCTGATGAAGGGGTCCTGCATGGCCCCCGAAATGCTGCACTTAACACTGTGATGTGATCACCAAATTAATGTTTGGATTTTATTTAACCGCCTCCATATAAGGAAATGACGGGCGCAAGGCGGTTCTCTCGTTCTAACCACACATACGCGGCTCCGGCAATCGGTGGTGCGCTGTATTCTCAGACACAGCGGATCACCGATCAACAGAAAGAGCCGAAGACATCGGCTCAGTCATGTGATCAGCTGTGTCCAATCACAGCTGATCGCATGTAAATAAGGAAATGCTGGTTATCGGCATTTCTCTCCTCTCGAGCTGTCACGCTGACAGAGGAGAGGAGAGCTGCTAATCTGCATTACTCAGAGGGGGCATCTGATGATCAGTGTAGCCCCATCAGTGCCACCTGCCAGTGTCCATCAATGCCACATATCAGTGCCCATCTGAGCTGCCTTTCAGTGCCAGTTAGTGCACCTATTAAATGCCAGTTAGTGCCACCTATCAGTGCTGCCAGTGCCAACTATCAGTGCTGCCAGTGCCAACTATCAGTGGCCGCCTATCAGTGCCCGTCAGTGCTGTCGATCAGTGCCGCGTGACAGTCAGTGCCGCCTATCAGTGGCAGTCAGTGCCATATATCTGTGATGCCTGTCAATGCCCATCAGTGCCACCTACCAGTGCCTCCTCATGAGTGCCTATCAGTGCCCATCACTGCAGCCTCATTAGCGCACATCAGTGAAGGAGAAAAATCACTTATTTACAAAATTGTATAACAAAAACTAAGAAAAAACTTTTTTTTTTTCAAAATTGTCTGTTGTTTTTGGTTTGTTTAGCAAAAAATAAAAAACCTCGAGGTGATTAAATATGACCAAAAGAAAGCTCTATCTGTCTCAAAAAAATGTTAAAAATTTCATATGGGTACAGTGTTGCATGACCGCGCAATTGTCATTCAAAGTGTGACAGCTCTGAGAGCTGGAAATTGGCCTGGGCAGGAAGGGGGTATAAGGGCCCAGTAGGCAGGAAGGGGGTAGAAGCGTCCTGTGGGCAGGAAGGGGGTAGAAGCGCCCGGTGGACAGGAAGGGGGCAGAAGCGCCCGGTGGGCAGGAAGGGGGTAGAAGCGCCCGGTAGGCAGGAAGGGGGTGGAAGCGCCCGGTAGGCAGGAAGGGGGTGGAAGCGCCCGATAGGCAGGAAGGGGGTAGAAGCGCCCGGTAGGTGAGGGGTTAAAGGATCCTTGGTGTGCTGGTCACAAATACTTTGGCTATACGGTTCCGGTCTCCAGCTGGCAGTTGCCGCAGCACCTGATTGGCCTTTTACAGGAAAGTGTGCTAACACCAAAAATGACACACACAACATGTACAATATGTAACGCACTACGACAATGATTGGAGCCATAAATACCTGAAATAAGTAAAATATATATCGATTTTATTGTGATGATAATTTTTGGCTTTGTGCTCATATATCCCATTTCATATTCATCATTTGGACAGGAAATGATGTCACTTCCTGCGTTCCATACCATTCTACTTACAAATCTTCAGTAGTTCGGCCTTCTGCTCATCATCTTCCTTTTCGGTCTCCTTTATTGTCTCTTTGATCCACTCCACATAATTCTTCACTCTGGTGTACATTCCGAACTCTCCACATTTAAGGCCCCAGGAGACAATACCGCCAATATATAATTTTTTCTCCTTAACGTCTTCTGACTTATATCTGAACATGAGCGGACCGCCGCTGTCACCTTGACAACTGTCTTTATTGCTTCCACCTGCGCAGATCATGTTTTCGGTAAAGACTTGGTTGGTGACTTCTGAATTCTTGCAGTCTTCGGTTTTGCGGACAGGAACAGGAACGTACTGCAGAACTGCCGTTTTCAATAATTTGAAATTATCGCTCTTCCTTCCCCAGCCTGCCACGTACCCGACTTCATTTATCTCTGGGGACGGGTCCATTATAATTTCCGGCAGACATACCGGAGATATGCAGGGACCCATTTCAATCCTACGATTCAGCTGGACAAGGGCAATGTCATTGTCATAATTCATTCTGTTATCATTATTTCCTACGGTCCATTTGGGGTGGAGAATGACTTTCTTGGCCAGCAGCTCCACTCCTTTACGGTGGGAGACATCTCCGGCAAGTAATCTGGGTTGGAGATGGTCTTGGACCACGTGGGCAGCTGTGAGGACCCATTGATCAGATATGAGTGACCCCCCTCCAAGGTCTCCTGATGGAAAATGCATGACCCAAGGGAAGAACCCGTTCTCTGCTGGGGAGCCACCATATATTCTGGATTGAAACTCCAAGGTGGTTTTGCCACAGACTAGAAGTAAAAAGCAGACAGATATTAAGGAATTCTTAAAAAAAAAAAGCAATAAAGTGATGCACGGTCATTAATGTCATATCTTTGGCATTGAGCAGGCAATTACCATGGATGCAATATATACAGTTGTGTTCAAAATAATAGCAGTGTGTGGAAAGAAGTGAATAAAGCTGAAAATCCTTCTAATAGCTTTTATTTCCATCCACACAAATGCATTGGGAACACGACACATTCTATTCCAAATCACAACATGAAGAAAAATACATCAAATTTGTGTTGTTCCTCTAAAAAAAATGGAAGAAAAGTGAATATTAGACGGTTCAAAATAATCGCAGTGTTTGTATTCTTCTTTACAAACTCAAACATTCACTATATAAACTGAGAAATGTTTGAAGATTTTGCTTTCCTTTGAATGACTTCATGAATATTTGGTTGTAGTCGCACTGTTTCTGAGAACTGCTGTACATCTGTGTTGCATGGAGTCACCCAACTTCTGGCCCCTGTGATCAGGTATTCCAGCCCAGGATGATTGGACCACATTCCACAGTTCTTCTCTATTTCTTGGTTTTGCCTCAGAAAGGGCATTTTTGATGTCACCCCACAAGTTTTCTATTGGATGAAGATCCGGGGATTGGGCTGGCCACTCCATAACGTCCATCTTGTTGGTCTGGAACCAAGATGTTGCACGTTTACTGGTGTGTTTGGGGTCGTTGTCTTGTTGGAACCCCCATTTCAAGGGCATTTCCTCTTCAGCATAAGGCAGCATGACCTCTTCAAGTATTCTGATGTATTCAAACTGATCCATGATCCCTGGTATGCGATAAATAGGCCCAACACGTAGTATGAGAAACATCCCCATATCATGATGCTTGCACCACCATGTTTCACTGTCTTCACAGTGTACTCTGGCTTGAATTCAGTGTTTGGGGGTCGTCTGATAAACTGTCTCCGCCCACTAGACCCAAAAAGAACAATCTTACTTCCATCAGTCCACAAAATGTTGCGCCATTTCTCTTTAGGCCAGTCAATGTGCTCTTTGGCAAGTTGTAACCTCTTCAGCACGTCTTTTTCCCAACAGTGGGACTTTGCGGGGACTTCTTGCAGATAGCTTGGCTTCACATAGGGGTCTTCTAATTGTAACAGTCCTCACAGGGAACGTCACACCTTCTTTCATCTTCCTGGAGCTGATTGTTGGCTGAGTCCGCCCCATTTTGCCTATTCTTCTATCCATTCCAATGGTAGTTTTTTGCTTTCTTCCACGTCTTTCAGGTTTTGGTTGCCATTTTAAAGCATTTGCGATCATTTTAGCTGAGCAGCCGATCATTTTCTGCACTTCTTTATATGTTTTCCCCTCTCAATCAACTTTTTAATCAAGGTACGCTGTTCTTCTGAACAATGTCTGGAACGACCCATTTTCCTCAGAATTTCAGAGAGAAATGCACTGTAACCAGCATGTACAACATTTGCTGCCTTCCTTCCTTTAATAAGGGCAATAATTGCCACCTGTTTTTCAAAGAATGAATGACCTCACTAATAGAACTCCACACGGCTATTATTTTGAACACGCCCCTTTCAATGAGTGATTCAATGACACAGAATCAGCAGCATACATGTCATGACTGTTGGGTCTGTTGGATTTCTATTACTCTACTACACCTGCTAGGAAATTATTTGCCATGTAGAAATGTCATTTCTACCAAAAACAGTGATTGATCCGGTTAGTGATGTCTGACTGCTATTATTTTGAACACAACTGTATATAGCACAGGGACTTCGAACTAACCAGTATCATGGAAGTCAGTTATATTTGTGGGGGCGCAGGGTGAATTATCGCACTATATCTGAAGTCTACACCTGTGGAGAGATGCTGTAAATTGGAAAAAGACTTTACATGTGAACATGTTCCCAAACTATAGTACATACAATTTCTTCTTGTATGTGTTTTTATGCTGTGTTTGTTATCCACCGCTGTTCACACCAGTGCAGGGTGGCCTGTAAGACTCTATCCCAAACAGTTTGGAGGCTTGGGGGTTCCTCACCTCTTATGGTACCATAGGGTTGCACAGCTGACCCAACTGGTACAGATTTACTCCAATAATTACAGGTCAGAATGGATGAAGCTGGAATCTCAAGCTTGTAGGCAGGTGCAGTTTACTCCCTCCACTGTAGGTGGCGCTCAGCCATAGTGGCTCTGCAGCTGGAGAGGAAGCCATGAGGAACATGATCCCTCTATGTTTTCCTGGGTCACTGGGGCAGCAATCCGGTAGGAAGCTGTTGTGCCATGTGACTCTGGCAGCCATCTTGGGTCAGGCAGAACCTATTTAAGGCCCTGGCTCCCACACTTGGTGTGCATTTTCAAGTTGGCAGGGTACCTGTCTGTAAGGGACAGTACTAGCTTTAGGGAAAGGTTCCTGAAGAGGAGGGAAACCCTTATGGACACCTTCCCGACTGGGCCCGAGCTAGCCAGGCTGCATTGTGCCCCTCTCAGCAGATGCTGTCAGTCCGGCCAGTATCTGCTTTGTTCACGTTGCTAGAAACCATGAGTGCACCCGGCTGGGTAGCCTTCCCATTGGGTTTATTTTGAACTGATGCTGCGTTACTTCAATACAAGGTTTACTTTGTACCTGTCTGTGTGAATTATTGCCCACCTACAAGCTGTCCACCCTCTACCACTTGACCTCCGTATGTGGATACCATTTAAACATTACAAGGCCATTCTATGCCCTACGTTGTCACTCATAGTGAGTTTGGGGCACAGTACTGAAAACTTTCCCCCTCAAGTATACACACACCAGTTGCACCAATCTTCAATAACCAGCGTTCCCTCTTGGTCTGTGCCCACACTAGTTCACCTAGTGGATGAATAAAGGCCTATACTGCATTGCAGGGGAATTCACTCTCCGGAATACTTCTGCCAGACGCTTGAGATGCCCCCCCCCCCCCCCCCCCCTGGAATCTTTGTGCCTGAATCAAATATTCCACTTTCTATGATCTCTAAAACAATCTACTGCAGATATCACCACCAGAACGTTATATGAAAGCAGATGCTTGTGGGACACAGACCCTCAGGGAAGCTTCTCAACTTTTATATCAGTTTTTCTCCACCTTATCAGACAAATTAGCCCACCAGCGGGTTTGGGAAGCAGACCTAGGGGAGGAAATTTCACCTGAGAGCTGGTCCAGTTGGACAGTTAGACTACACCACAAGGTAAACAAGGCATTTTTCAGGGGGGGAGCACCTTCCCCCCAGAAAAAGGGATGAAAGAAGGGACATGGCATCATAGAAACCAGGTGGGATCCAAGAGAGGCTGCTTGATGGTCTATGTAGAGCCTGACTCTCATTCCCAGGGATGGCCGGAGCTGTGAAGATGAGTGTCTCTCTCAGTGGCGGACTGGCAACTCATGGGGCCCCCGGGCAAAAATGGATCATGGGACCCCTGTGTCCTTGCCCACACTCAAACCACACCCAAAAAAAGCCTATGAAAGGTACCAGGGGCATCTAATGGGGCCCCCTACTGACCCGAGTGCCGGAACGGTCAGTCCGCCCCTGGTCTCTCTATTGCCGGGGTGGGTTGTGGAAGGCTCTCCCAGGTGGGGGGCAGGGGTGTTGCTGGTCAATGTCAGGCACTTTGGGGGTGGTGTTGGTCGATGTCCATGGGGACAGATGATTTTTGTGTTGCCTAGGGCAGCACAAAACCTAAATACACCACTGGACTACACACTGGAGTACTCAATACAACCCTGGTTGAAGGGAACTATAAAATGTCCTATTGGTACCTAGCCAAGATTTATCCTGACACATCTCCTATTGCAGGGGGGGCAATTTGTTCCATGTCTGGTGGACTTGCCCCAAAGGGGGGCAGCACCTTCCCCCCAGAAAAAAGGGATGAAAGAAGGGACACGGGCGCCATGGGAACCAGGTGGGATCCAAGAGAGGCTGCTTGATGGTCTATGTAGAGCCTGACTCTCATTCCTGGGGATGTCTGGAGCTGTGAAGATGAGTGTCTCTCTATCGCCGGGGTGGGTTGTGGAAGGCTCTCCCAGGTGGGGGGCAGGGGTGTTGCTGGTCAATGTCAGGCTCTCTGGGAGTGGTGTTGGTCGATGTCCATGGGGGAAGACGATTTTTGTGTTGCCTAAGGCAGCACAAAACCTAAATACACCACTGGACTACACACTTGAGTACTCAATACAGCCCTGGTTGAAGGGAACTATAAAATGTCCTATTGGTACCTAGTCAAGATTTATCCTGACACATCTCCTATTGCAGGGGGGCAATATGTTCCATGTATAGTGGACTTGCCCCAACGTCAAACAATTCTGGACTAGAGTGTTCACTATGGCTCTTACGGTGACTAATGTGAAAGTCCCCATAACTGCCAAAATTGCACTTTTGAACGAGTCCCTGGAGGACATCCCAAGGCATACACAGTCCCACATATTTTACATTTTTCTGGTGGCTGAAATGACCATCACCAGGGCATGGAAGTCGCCCGTTGTTGATTTCACCGCAATGAATAATGCTACACAGATAGCCAGTCTGCTTAAGGACAAAAAGGCCAGGTTCAAAAAGGTGTGGAACCCCTGGCTACCATATCTACAACCGACTCCCCTGGCTACGGCCTACAACCGTAGGCTCAGAGAGAGGGATTGACGGGCCCCGAACCGAGGGGGGCGACTCCTCGTTCTCATTTCTTCTTCTCCCCACTTCATTCTAAGGATTTTATTATCTCCTTTACTCACCCCACTTCTTTATATTCTCAATATCATTTGGTCAGCTTTAAACACCCCATGTGTGCAAAACCGAGGCCTATCCAACAGGCGCCATACCTCCTGACTTCATATAAGCCTCATCAGGGCCGTGGATAAGGGGGTACCACTGTTCCTCCTGTACGGGGCCCAGACCAGCAGGGGGGCCCAGGCAGCTGGGTGAATCAGATGTGGGCAGGGAGGGAGATCAGCACAGCGGGGGAGGGGGACAATTACTGGAACTGATCCCCTGTATGGCTCCTTAGGATGAAGAGTCCATAAATATGTCACATTTACCAGCCCCTTCTTTTCCTGAATGAACACAATGAGTGATTGGTACTAATCAATCACTATGTTCATTCATAACTGAAGCATAGTAAACTTTGTTTGCGTCACTGTTTCTATTTTCTTTTTTACAACAATAAAAATATTGAAACAGAAACATTTTAGATAGGATAAGGAAGGGTTATAATTCCTGTTGTTTCTTTTTTTTGCCTTCTGTGTCTCATTGGGGAGGTTTCCCTTCATTTCCTGTCCCATAGCCAAAACTGGAAGTGAGAGGAAATCCCTCCAAAGTGAGGGAATCCCTGGTTGTCAACAAAACTGGTGATCCCATTGGATGACTTCTTGTCTCATTCCTTTGCTGGTGACAACCCAAAGTTGGGGATTTTCACTGCTGATGAGAAAAGGTATTTAGCAGTTTAGATTTACAAAAATAATTGCATTTCCATGTTCTGTGTACTGTGGGAGACCAGATTTAGTGAATGCAGGGTCCGGGGAGAGCGGATATAGTGAATGCGGGGTCCGGGGAGAGCGGATATAGTGAATGCGGGGTCCGGGGAGAGCGGATATAGTGAATGCGGGGTCCGGGGAGAGCGGATATAGTGAATGCGGGGTCCGGGGAGAGCGGATATAGTGAATGCGGGGTCCGGGGAGAGCGGATATAGTGAATGCGGGGTCCGGGGAGAGCGGATATAGTGAATGCAGGGTCCTGGGAAGACTGTATATAGTGAATGCGGGGCCCTGGAAGACCGGATATAGTGAATGCGGGGTCCGGGGAGAGCGGATATAGTGAATGCGGGGTCCGGGGAGAGCGGATATAGTGAATGCGGGGTCCGGGGAGAGCGGATATAGTGAATGCGGGGTCCGGGGAGAGCGGATATAGTGAATGCGGGGTCCTGGGAAGACCGGATATAGTGAATGCGGGGTCCGGGGAGAGCGGATATAATGAATGCGGGGTCCGGGGAGAGCACCGGATATAGTGAATGGGGGTCCGGGGAGAGCGGATATAGTGCATGCGGGGTCCGGGGAGAGCGGATAGTGAATGCAGGGTCCTGGGAGAGCGGATATAGTGCAATGCGGGGTCCGGGGAGAGCGGATATAGTGCATGCGGGGTCCGGGGATAGCGGATATAGTGAATGCGGCGTCCGGGAAACCGGATATAGTGAATGCGGGTCCAGGGAGAGCGGATATAGTGAATGCGGGGTCCTGGAAGACCGGATATAGTGAATGCGGGGCCCTGGAAGGCCGGATATAGTGAATGCGGGGTCCGGGGAGAGCGGATATAGGAATGCGGGGTCCGGGGAGAGCGGATATAGTGAATGCGGGGTCCGGGGAGACGGATATAGTGAATGCGGGGTCCGGGGAGACCGGATATAGTGAATGCGGGGTCCGGGGAGAGCGGATATAGTGCATGCGGGGTCCGGGGAGAGCGGATATAGTGCATGCGGGGTCCGGGGAGAGCGGATATACTGAATGCGGGGTCCGGGGAGAGCGGATATAGTGAATGCGGCGTCCGGGGAAACCGGATATAGTGAATGCGGGGTCCAGGGAGAGCGGATATAGTGAATGCGGGGTCCGGGGAGACTTTATCTGTATATTGCTATTCATTACCATGACCCAGTACTAAAAAGAATACAATTTGTATTTTACCTGTACTAGGACCAAGAAGTGACAATGTATTTTTTCTCCATTCAGAAGAAGGAGTACAGGGACAGGTTTTACAGACTATTAACAGTAATAGCCAATAATAAAGTGGCCGGGGAGTGTACATAGTTACACTGGTACAAAACCTGGAACAATGTAACTACAAATTTCCATACTGAGCATTCTTTAAAAATGTCCAAAGGTTATTTACTATTGGAAGCATTCAACTTTTTTCAGCTGAACTGTTTCCTGGAAATTACATTGGAGTTATATCACTTAATCAACTTACATACAAACAATGGTCTCCATTAGATGACAATCGCCAAATCACATTTTTATAAAGACATACAAATAAAAACCATGGAATATAAAACCCCACATACAAATATATTCACCTGGTTTACATACGGGGAGATCAGTTTGTTTTTTGCTGTTCACCCAGTCTCCATCCAAAGAGCAGTGATAGGTGTCTGCAAAGATGAGAAACAAGAATGTATGCTGAGCACCTAAAGAGAACCTGTCTTCTAAACCATTGATATGTCATCTGTGCCATGCAAACAACCCATAGTAATCCTCTAGCAGGAAGGGAGAAGATGAAAGTGAATTGATCGATTCCACGATGAAATAACAGTGGATGATATTAGGGTTTTCTACGACTATCAACATGAAACAGAACTTTTCTGTGCTGGGCGGGCCGGTCAACAAAGCCCAGTCTACTGTGCTCTCGGATAAAAACATCTATCCAGGGAAAAAATAATTCTCATTCAACCCTGTGTGCATGGTAGAGAAATGAATATAAATGTATTATATGCAGGGTTTTTGTTTTTGTGTGGACGGAACGTGGTGATGCTCCATGCCTTGTGCTCATCGACTTGTTACCTGTAAATACAGAAGTCGGTACTCACTTCCCCTGCCGTCTTCTGTGTTTGCATGATGGTGTGCTACTCGAGCAGCTTCGGTGCAGAACTCTCCCAGCCACAGGAAACACAGAAGGTCAGCGGAACCAGCCTTACATCAGCAGCTCCTCTAACAGCCCTCACCACTAGCCAGGACTGAGGACTTCAGAACCTATTTCTGGGACCCTCTGTACTGGTAAGGGGCGGGGAAGGATAGGGCGAGACCTCTGTACTGGGATGGGGATATTGGGAGTAGAGCTCTGTACTGAAGGGGATATTGGGGGGAAGCTGGGGGTGCATGTACTGGGGGGAGTATTTGGGCATTTGGGGGGGGGGTGTTGATTGGGGGAAGAGCTCTGTACTGGGGGGAGTATTTGGGGGAGAGCTCTGTACTGAGGGGGATATTGGGGGAAGAGTTCTGCATTGGGGGGGGGGGTTATTGAAGGGAGAGTTCTGTTCTTGGGGGATATTGGGAGGAAGCTCTGTACTGGGGAGGGATATTGGGGGGAGAGCTCTGTACAGAGGGGGATATTGGGGGAAAGTTCTGTACTGGGGGGGTATTGGGGGAAGAGCTCTGTATTTGGGGGGTATAGGAGGAAAGCTCTGTACTGGGAGGGTATTGGGGAAAGGCTCTGTACTTGGGGGGGGGGGGGGGGGGCACTGGGGGGAGAGCTCTGTACTTGGGGGGGGGGGGGGTATTGGGGAAACGCTCTGTACTGGGGGTATTGGGGGAAAGCTCTGCACTGCAGGGGGGGGGTATTGGGGGAGAGCTCTGTACTTTGGGGGGTATTGGGGAAAAGCTCTGTACTGGGGGTATTGGGGGAAAGCTCTGTACTTGGGGGGTATTGGGGGTAGAGCTCTGTACTGCAGGGGAATTGGCAGGAGAGCTCTGTACTTGGGGGGGTATTGGAGGTAGAGCTCTGTACTGAGTGGGGGTATTGTCGGGAGAGTTCTGTACTTGGGGGGGTATTGGGGGTAGAGCTCTGTACTTGGGGGGTATTGGCAGGGGAGCTCTCTACGTAGGAGTCAGAGTTCAGTACTGAGAGGAGTTTTGGGGTCAAAACTCTGTACTGGAGGGTGAGATTGGGGGAGAGCTCTGTACTGGGGAGGGTATTTGGAGGGAGAGATCTGTACTGGGGGGCTATTGAGGAGAGAGCTTTTTACTGTAGAGTGTATTTGGGGGGGATAGAGACCTTAGTTTGCCGGCTCCTTGAAGGCAGAGATTGATGTAAATCATCTGCTATATAATGCTTGTAATAAATAAATGGATTATTCTGGCTGTAGGCACTTGTGTTATGAGGCCTTTTTGGGGTGTTTTGTTATTCTTTGACAATGCATGAAGACACGTGTAAAATATATAAAATACCACAGTTGAGTTGTTCCATTTCTCACCTTCACCAAGCAGGGTATAATAATCCAACTTGCAGTTATATTTGGCTTCTGACTGATAAGTGGTCGATTCAAACTCCACTTCCGCGAAGTCAGCTTTGTTAGGCTCTCCACAGTCCACGGCTGGAGAAAAATGAGAAATATTACATCCCAGGTTCTCCAGAAGGCTGAGGGTGGTCAATCTCCTTGACTATGTGCTCTGAGCTGAGCACGCACATCTCAGGGTACACTTTCAGTATCTGCTGGGATGAATGAACTCCCATGTATGTATTGGAGGTACATTAACCAGGCATGGCCAATCAATACGAGTGAAGATCCTGAACCTGGCAGAAGACTGAGCCGCATCAGCGTGGAAGCCCTTGGACCTCACATCACTGAAGGAGAGGCAAGCATAGTTCTGCTTTAATTTCCTTGTCTGCCAAGGTCAATGATGGGGCTCTATTCCTTCCACTGACACTAATGATGGGGCACTATTCCTCCCATTGACACCAATGATGGGGTACTATTCCTCCCACTGACACCAACAATGGGGCACTATTCCTCCCATTGATACCAATGATGGGGCACTATTCCTCCCATTGACACCAATGATGGCGCACTATTCCTCCTATTGACACAAATGATGGGGCACTATTCCTCCCCACTGATACCAATGATGGAGCACTATTCCTTCCACTGATACCAATGATGGGGCACTATTCCTCCCACTGACACCAATGATGGGGCACTATTCCTCCCGCTGACACAAATGATGGGACACTATTCCTCCCACTGATACCAATGATGGAGCACTATTCCTCCCACTGATACCAATGATGGGGCACTATTCCTCCCACTGATACCAATGATGGGGCACTATTCCTCCCACTGACACCAATGATGGGACACTATTCCTCCCAGTGATACCAATGATGGAGCACTATTCCTCCCACTGATACCAATGATGGGGCACTATTCCTCCCACTGACACCAATGATGGGACACTATTCCTCCCAGTGATACCAATGATGGAGCACTATTCCTCCCACTGACACCAATGATGGGACACTATTCCTCCCACTGATACCAATGATGGAGCACTATTCCTCCCACTGACACCAATGATGGGACACTATTCCTCCCAGTGATACCAATGATGGAGCACTATTCCACCCACTGACACCAATGATGGGGGCACTATTCCTCCCACTGATACCAATGATGGAGCACTATTCCTCCCACTGATACCAATGATGGGGCACTATTCCTCCCACTGACACCAATGATGGGCACTATTCCTCCCACTGATACCAATGATGGGGCACTATTCCTCCCACTGATACCAATGATGGAGCACTATTCCTCCCACTGATACCAATGATGGGGCACTATTCCTCCCACTGACACCAATGATGGGACACTATTCCTCCCAGTGATACCAATGATGGAGCACTATTCCTCCCACTGATACCAATGATGGAGCACTATTCCTCCCACTGATACCAATGATGGGGCACTATTCCTCCCACTGACACCAATGATGGGCACTATTCCTCCCACTGATACCAATGATGGGGCACTATTCCTCCCACTGACACCAATGATGGGACACTATTCCTCCCACTGATACCAATGATGGGGCACTATTCCTCCCACTGACACCAATGATGGGCACTATTCCTCCCACTGATACCAATGATGGGGCACTATTCCTCCCACTGATACCAATGATGGGGCACTATTCCTCCCCCTGACACTAATAATGGGGCACTATTCCTACCATTGACACCAACGATGGAGCACTATTCCTCCCATTGACACCAATGATGGGGCACTATTCCTCCCATTGACACCAATGATGGGGCACTATTCCTCCCACTGATACCAATGATGGGGCACTATTCCTCCCACTGACACCAATGAAGGGGCACTATTCCTCCCATTGACACCAATGATGGGGCACTATTCCTCCCACTGACACCAATGATGGGGCACTATTCCTCCCACTGATACCAATGATGGAGCACTATTCCTCCCACTGACACCAATGATGGGGCACTATTCCTCCCACTGACACCAATGATGGGGCACTATTCCTCCCACTGACACCAATGATGGAGCACTATTCCTCCCATTGATACCAATGATGGGGCACTATTCCTCCTATTGACACCAATGATGGGGCACTATTCCTCACATTGACACCAATGATGGGGCAGTATTCCTCCCACTGATACCAACGATGTGGCACTATTCCTCCCCCTGACACCAATTGATCAATTCTCCACCTGACACCAGTGAAGGGGCACTATTTCTCCCCCTGACACCAATGATGGGGCACTATTCCTTCCACTGTGACAAATGATGGAGCCCTATGCCCCCGCAGATACCAACAATGGGGCTCTGATTTTTTTAGCCAACTCTCAGCTGTCATGTATAACTGACTCCAGCCATATATTGCCTATAAAGGCTGAATAATGTCCAAATATGTGAATCTCTTTATCGCCATTTTGACCATGTGCTCTCTATGTGTTGGTGGTGTGGTAATTGGACTGGGATCTTAGATTCACATATTTGGACATTATTCAGCTTTTATAGGCAATATATGGCTGAAATCATAAATCCAGTAATTCAGTGGAGACGTGCTGGTAATGACGTTATATCCGTTCTTGAAGTCTGTTAAGTTATAAAATCTTGATATTTGACTAGTCCCTTGAAAGTGTTGCTAAGATCGTGGTGTTTCACAATTAAGTCCCTCCCCACGGGCCCGGCAGGCATTTGTCATTGGACACCCATTGTCACACATGTGAACATAAGTTTGTATATAACAAAATACAAGGCCCCGAGGAAGCGGATTTTCCCCGAAACGCGTCGGCCATTTAACTACATGCCGCCCAGCCACTGTACATATACGGCGGCAGGGCGGCACTCACAGGCAAAACCACGTTTTAAGACGTGTGTTTTGTAAACAAATAGGGGGCGCGCACGAGGCGCGCCGTCGCCCTATCTGTCCTGCGGATCACCGTCGCAGATGTCAGTCGCGGGTCACAGCCGCTCGTTACCGGCTATGTTCCGGCGATCGGCGGCAAACAGTGACAGAGAGCACAGCTTCAGTAGCTGTGCTGTCTGTCACTTCCCTGTCAGCTCGAGGATGAGCTGATCGAGAAAGAACAGTTTTCTCTCTCTCCGATCAGCCTTGTCCCGTCCAGCACACACCCCGCCCCCTAGTAAAACACTCCCCTCACTCCTATAACCCTTCCCTGCAATATAAAGTTAACCCCTTCCTCCCCAGTGCCATTAGTACAGTGTCAGTGTTTTTTTTTTTGCACTGATCACTGTATTAGTGTTTTTGGGGATGTCAGTGACCCCAAGTCAGTACCCCCCAATGTCAGAATGTCCGCCGCAGTCCAGCAGTCCCGTCATAAGTCACTGATCGCCGCCATAATTCGCTGATCGCCGCCATTATTAGTATAAAAAAAAACCTAAAAATCCCAGTATCTTTCCCGCCATTTGTAAACGCTATAACTTTCACGTAAACCAATTAATTTACACATATTGGGGTTTTTTTTTAGCAAAGACATGTCGCAGAATGCATTTTGGCAGAAATTTATGACTAAATTAGATTTTTGCATTTTTTTTTTACTGGACATGTTTTATAGCAAAAAGTCCAAAATATTGTTTTTTTTTCCTCAAAATTGTCAGCCTTTTTTTTTATAGCGCAAAAAATAAAAACCGCACAGGCGATCAAATACCACCAAAAGAAAGCTCAATTTGTGGGGGAAAAAAAGGATGTAAATTTCATTTATGTACCGTATTGCATGACCGCGCAACTGTCCGTTAAATTAGTGCAGTGCTGTATAGCAGAAAAATGTCATAAATTGCAGTATCTATACCATAGTTTGTAGACGCTATAACTTCCACACAAAGCAATCAATATACACTTATTGGGATTTTTTTTACCAAAAACATGGAGCAGAATACATTTGGGCCTAAATTTATAACCAACTTTGAGTTTACTATATATTTTTTTATAGCTGAAAGTAAAAAAATATTGTTTTTCTTCAAAATTTTTGGCCTTTTTATGTTTATAGCGTGAAAATAAAAAGCGCACAGATGATCAAATACCACCGAAAGAAAGCTCTATTTGTGTGAAAAAAAGGACGTAAATTTAGTTTGGGTGCAGCATTGCATGACCGCGCAATTATCAGTTGAATTAGTAGAGCGCCGAGTAGCAAAAAGAGGCGTGGTCATTAAGGGGGGTAAATCCTCTGGAGCTCAAGTGGTTAAGATGAGGATCTTATGAACAGATATATGGTTATACTTCAAGCGACATTATTCATTTTAGAAGTCTTTTTACAATGTTTATCTGTGATATATGTATATGGCAACAATAAAATACTGTTTGATGCATTGATATTCTTGTTTCTACTATACCTCGGGAGGTACATTTACAGTCCCAATTACAAGTGTTATATTTAATACCAATGACGAGGCACCACTCCTCTTCCAAGGACCACAGGTGCTGTGTAATGTATTTACCCCCATTGACCACCAAGCCTGAGGCATGGTGTTGTCGCACTGATGCTAGGAACTTTTCTACTCCTACTGGCCACAATCCAGCCCTCCTCTGAAGGACCGTCAACTCCCCCTTTGTTTAGAAAGTCTGGAGAGCCACGGTATGAGATACCATCCTATAGGTAGCATCACCCCTAAGTTCCAGAGGACCCCGGGATGCCCAAAATCCAGCATGCTCTCATATGCAAAACTTCAGCTAGGAAGTCATCACTTGAGTTGGCCCTTTCTATGCCTTTCTATTGGCATATCACTGTATTGAAGAACTTCACTTAGTAGCGGGGAAGGCAAGGTTCCGATTTCCTAATTGCACGTTAGAGCAACTGAGGTTCCAGGAAAATACAGTTTCTAATGTCAGTTCACTTTAAATATATCCAGCAATGTAAAATATTTCATGCGATGAGCACTTACGCTGGCATTGCAGGTGGGAGTTGCTCCAGGTTCCATCTGCTTGGCATTTGGCCAGGAACGATGGTATTTTTTGTCTGAAAAGAGGAGAGGGGAGAAGATTCATGGTAGGAAGCCGTCTACAGCTTCGTTGTCTGCACACTCTTTCCATGATGGCCACTTACGTCTGCCACAATCTCGAATCCTTCCTTGCAGCTGACAGTCACCATGTCTTTATATAAATATTTGTCATTCTGAGGGTCCAGTATTGAATTCTCTGTTATCTGATTGGGGCAAGGAATAGCTGTAGAGTAAGAAGAAATAACTGGAAAATTAGATACATTTTATTATTAGTACATTAAAACAATTTAAGGCTAATTATTCAGATTCTTGCAGAAGTCCCATGGTGACCCTTTCTCTTTAAGCCCCGCCCATTGATCAAGCTACCAGTTTAAAGAGGATGGAGGTTTGAATGGGGGGCACCATAGAGGGAGCTCCAATATAACCCAATACCCATTCGGTGTATCCCTTGTGCCCAGGGGCGGACTGACCATTTGGAAACTCAGGCACTGCCCGAGGGCCCGGGGTCAGTAGGGGGCCCCATGAGATGCCCCTGGTACCTTTTTCATAGGCTTTTTTGAGTTTGGGCAAGGACACAGGGGCCCCATGATCCCCTATTGCCCGGGGCCCCATGAGTTGTCAGTCCGCCCCTGCTTGTGCCTCACCATCGGTGTCAATTCATATGTCACAGTCTATGGTCACACATTTCAGTCACTTTGTGCTTCCACCAGCATCTGTATCTGTCAATATATTACAGTCTGAGTTTTGGTGTGTTATAAGAAATGATAAAATATTAAAGATATTAAAATCCACACCCGGAAGTACCATTCATTGAAGGCTCCTGAGTTTATAATCACATAGCCACAATGTGTGTTGAAAATTTGGGGTGACCATCAGGTGGTTGGAGGTCAAGACCCAGCGTATATCAAAGTGCCACGTCCCTAAAGTTACATATTGGAAAGAAGGATATTGGATAGCCACAATGTGGTTTTATATTCAGTGGCCACACTGTTAAAAAATGTCCAGACAGGAGAAGCCTGCACACTTCAGAGGTATGGAAGGACCCCCTTCATCAGGGCTTTATATATTTGATTGCATAGAATCTGGATAAACATAGTGATCATCAAGAAAAAAAACAATATCCCTGTAATTTACACAGGTATGTAATGTCCAAAATTAGATATAAAAAAGAAAGAACGCCCTACCAAAGACGTTTTTTGCCCTTGTCTGTGACTGTCATGCTATGTGTATGGGGATGTTGGTACCATTTCCATTTTGGCCACTAGGCTGTAGCCTCTCCATAAATAAATATTGGGTCCATGAGACAGTTGAGTTTGGGCAGGAAGTTGACAGAATAGGAGTGGGACTCTGGAGCTGGCCCCCACAGAACTTGGTTGGGCTTATTCTACAGAGACGTTGAGCTTCCAGAGATTAGCATTCTCAAGCTGGGGAATACAAGGAGAGGTCCTGGTGTCCTGGATAGAAGAGAGTTGGGGACAGGACATAGAGTGCCTGACCTGGGAAAATGCTGATGTCTACTACTATGATGGTGAGAAGGTGTATGCCGTGCAATTGAATGTCTTCAAGTTGCCTACCTTGAAGTGCAAAGTTTATTGGACTCCCCTCTTCTTGTTACTAATGGCCTAACCTAGGAACTGGTACCTGGTTCTGCTGGGAAGAATGTGGGGTGAAGCGTTGGGCATGGTACAGTACATGTTCAGGAGAATGTACACTATTTGGCTCCCCCTAGGAACTGGGACTCACAAAACCGCGCAACCGGGCAAGAGGCTTCTTAGCAGTCCCCGGTAATGAAACGTTATGTCCACGTTCAAATGGCCCTCCCCACATATTGTATGTAGCTGCTTCAAATTGGTTTACAACAATAACATTGTTTCCTTTCTCTTCCAACTCTATCCACAACTAAAGGAAAAAAATCTATGGTTAGACATGTACTTCCAAATTGTTTTCATACATGTGGTAAAAAACATTCCACTTTCAAATAGTCCATCTCTTATGCAATAGGCACATCTGCTATTGTGAACATGTTGGATGATTTCCAGTAGTGCTGGTCATCTTTAGTTATCTCACTAGAGAGAAACGAGATCAGACTGGAAATAAACAATCCACCCTATCGCTAGTTATGTGCGCTGCAATGGTTTATGCACCATATACAACCCATCCACTACACAGTACACTGTACTTTGCAACTATGTATGTCTATGCTTTTACCTACAATCTGATGCATTGATTTATCTAATAATTGATTAAAGAATGAGACAAGGATCAGGGTCAGACCTAAAGGCTTGACTGTTATTGTTGCTTCTTACGGTCAGGCTGCAGGTACAGTATCTGTTATTCAGGATTGGATGGAGCCTCTAAGCAACTGTGATATAGATCCTCTTTTTTCCTAGTGGTAGGCCTGGGTTGCTGTGTAAAGCTGATTTGAAGAAGTGCCTGGCTTGTGCATTGTTACCCCCACAAGAATTCTTGGAATTTGCTTGCGGTTTACACTACTGGGACAAGTTGTAAGGCTGGAGACCACTAAAATAAATCTATAGAATCACCAAGCAAAGGGTATTCCATAAACGGACAATGGTTGAGGCAAGTGATATTCGGATACAGACCCAATACAACCAGAAGGGAAATAGAGTCTCAACTCAACCAGAAGGTCAGTAGAGGACCAACAAGCAGAAAGATCAACATAGTTCCAACACAACCAGAAGGTCAATCATCATAATACAACCAGAAAGTCAATAGAGTCTCAACACAATCAGAAGCTCAATAAAATCTCAACACAATCAGAAGATCAATAGTGTTCCCAGTACAACCTGCAAGCCAATAGAGTCTCAAAACAACCAGAAGGTCAATAGAGGACCAAAGCATAGAAAGGTCAATATAGTCCCAGTACAATCAGAAGGTCAGTAGATTTCCAACACAACTAGGTCAATAATCCTAATACAACCAGAAGATCAACAAAATCTCAACAAAATCAGAAGGTCAGAAGAGTCCCATTACAATCAAAAGGTCAATAGTCCCAACACAACCAGAAGGTCTATAGTTTTAATACAACTAGAAGGTCATTAGAGTATCAACACAATCCGTAGGTCAATATATTTCCAGTAGAACCAGAAGGTAAGTAGATTTCTAACATAACCAGAAGGATTCCTAATACAACCAGAAGATAAACAAAATCAGAAGGTCAAAAGAGTCCCATTACAACCCGAAGGTCAATAGTCCCAACACAACCAGAAGGTCAATAGTCTCAATGCAACCCGAAGGTCAATAGTCCCAACACAACCAGAAGGTCAATAGCCTCAATGCAACCAGAAGGTCAATAGCCTCAATGTAACCAGAAGGTCAATAGAGTCCCAACACAACCAGAAGGTCAATAGCCTCAATGCAATCAGAAGGTCAATAGAATCCCAACACGACCAGGAGGTTGATAGTCTCAATACAACCAGAAGGTCAGTATGTTCCCAGCACAACCAGAAGGTCAAGAACAGGATAAAAGCAAATTTGAGAATTAACCAAAGTAGAACACTCAGAAGTAAAGTGCTGGGGGAAGGCATTCAATACAAAGCAACAACATACCTTGAGAAGGAAAGAGTTCTTAAACATCCTTAGCCAGGTCCCATGTACCAACTACAGGAGAGGCAAGGATGGGCACAGAGTAATGCCAGCTAACAAGGAAAAGGTTTTCAATTTTATCTGAAACCAAAACTTTAGTTTTTAGTAAGGTGTGCAAGGTTAGGAAGGATTGGAACCACTCAAATTTTTATTGCTGTCTTTTTCTCCATTGGAAGGATTCATCACTGTCACCATGACAGAAAAATATGAAAATTCCAAATGAAACAGGAATTTAACAGCAGGACATTTTCCAGTTGGCACCCGTTTTGGAAAAAGCTGTCTAAAAAGAGATGACCCCTCGTTTTGGGCAGATTTTCTTTTAGTTCCTTTACAGGGTTTGAACTATCCCATACTCTATCCAAAATATTTTGGCTTTAGATGTGCTTTAAAGAGACATTGTCACTTTGCCCTTTGCCATCCCCCTAGACCACCGGTGTCACACCTCCTGCTGTTGCCAAACCACAAGTCCCATGAGGCATTGCAAGATTGACAGTCACAAGCATGACCTCCAAAGGCAGAGGCATGATGGGACTTGTAGTTTCGCAACAGCTGGAGGGCCGCCAGTTTGACACCCCTGCCCTAGACCCACTGATACTCATCTCTTCAGCAATTTCTCACTGCTTTTTTCTTGGCATCCAGAAGAAAATACTTGGTACTTCCAAAAATGAGGGGCCTCTTCTCATGATACAGTAATTGAGGCCAGCAGTGCACAGAAAATCAATCCTCAGTTGCATGAGCAGAAGATTAACAGTCCATCTTGATCCACTCATAAAATCCAGCTAGCACAGAATGGTACTTTGTACAGGGCCACAGGACACAATTCCACCATATAAATCATGAATAGTAGTAATAAGGGGAACTACTTTAAAATGTTAGTTGCCATGCTTTATACTGTAATGGGGCCACTTTTTAGGTCCACTCTGACATTGCTGATAAACAACTGTTGGATGCATTTGCAAAATCTTGACCAGTGTTTTTGAACCAGGGTGTCCCAGAACCTTGGGGTGCCATCTGAGTTCCTCCAGGGTGCAGCAAGCACAGGACCCAGTTTGCCCTCGATCAGTGTCATGAGATGCCATGATGTGGGCTGGCAGGCTGCTAGCACCATAACAACCAATGATGCTCTAGGACCAGGATGCACAGTATCATTTGTTGCTATGGTGATAGTGGCCAGCTCACCAACACCATGGCAATGTATGACTATGATCCAGGACAGGTGGCCTGCGGGGCCACCCCCACATTCCAGAGGAGATAGATGCCTGCCTCCTCCAGGCCTACTCTACTTTCCACCCTCTACTGGACACAAAAGGTAGAGCTCTGATGTGAAGAGAGGATTGTGTGATTGGGTGGTTCTTTGATGGGGGGCTTGATGGAGGGGGGGTTCTGATGTGATGGTGGGGGACCCTGATGTGATGGGGAGGCTCTGGTGTGATGAGGGCCCTCTGACATGATGGGGTCCTTCGATGTGCAGGGGGAACGCTGATACAAAGGAACCTCTGATGTGAAGGGGGGCTTCTGATATGAAAATCATCTCATCAAGGTG